GCCCTCTTTCCTGCCTATGCAGGGGGTTGGACTCGATGATCTATTGAGGTCCCTTCCGACCCTAACATCTATGAATCTATGAATCCAGGCAGGCCTGGACAGGTTGGAAAAGTGGGCAGAAAAGACTAGGATGCAGTTCAACAAAGACAAATACAAAGTGCTGCATCTAGGGGGAAGGAATCACCAACACACGTATAGGCTAGGGGGACGACCTTCTCAGTAGCACAGTGGCAGAAAGGGATCATGAGCCATCAAATTGACGAAGTAATCAGTAAAGCTAACCGCACTCTATAGTGCATTAGCACGTGCATCACGAACAGGTCCAGGGAGGTGATACTTCCCCCTCTGAGGCATTGGTCCGGCCAGAGTTGGAGTACTGTATCCACTTTTGGGCACTGCACTTCAAGAGGGATGTGGATAATGTTGAGAGGGTTCAGAGGAGGGATACTCATATGGTTAGGGGCCTGCAGGTAAGGCCCTACAGAGAGACTGAGGGACCTGGCTCTCTTCAGCCTCCGCAAGGGAAGGCTGAGAGGGGATGTTGTGACTGTTTACAAATTCATCAGGGGCTGGGGGGCAGCAGGGAATAGGAGATGCTCTGTTTACCAGGGCAGGCCTTGGAATAACCAGGAACAATGGCAACACACTGACAAAGCAGATTTAGGTTGGACATCGTGAAGAACTTCTTTACGGTAAGGATTGCCTGGGTCTGCAACGGGCTTCCAAGGGAGGTGGTGCTCTCCCCTACCCTTGGGGTCTTTAAGAGGAGACTAGACAAGCACCTGGCTGGGGTCATATGACCCCAGTGCTCTTTCCTGCCCATGGCAGGGGGTCAGACTTGATGATCTACTGAGGTCCCTTCTGACACTAACAACTATGAAAACAAAACATGAAACCAAGGACATAACAGAGAACATCACTGAGATATAAAATTATATTGTCCAGATTAAACAGGTCAGTTGGAGCCCAGCAAGAAAAATAATGCTGAAGGGCATTATGCTGAATGCTGAAGGGCAAATTGAAGCACAAAGAGTAAATTTGTTTTATTTACAACACTTTTTGCTAAATTTGGATTTCTAGCAAGCAGTTCCTTGCACAATTACATGTACATCTACAAAAATTTGCAACAGAGAAGATGAGAAAGCAGAGATTGTACTATTCTTGATCTATTCATTTTGTTAAGTTTAAAATAGCAATAATGATCCCCAACTCAACCTCTACCCCAAAGTAGACATGTATTAGTCCTGCTTTCCCCTCCTCCAGACAGCAATCCATGTAAACTTGAACAGGTCTAAAATAGGGCAGGAACATTTATTTTGATTAAGATGTAATATATCCTAATTTTTTAAGTCTTGTATGCACTGCAAGTCTTACCTGAATTACATCTCCTGAATTAAAGCTCATCTCATCGTGATTCCTTGCTTCAAATGGGTATAAAGCTCTGTAATTTACCAAGGCAACTGAATTCCTAGATTCTGAGGTACTAACAGCATTCCCTGAAAGGAGAAAAAAAAACCAAACTATTACTGTCTTGGTACTGCAGTAATGCTTAGAAAGAAGCCTTTAACTTGGTCAGGTCCAGTTGTGTGAGATGACGTATACCGATATAAACAAGGGGACAGTCCTTGCCTCAGTAACGTTACAGACTAAATGTATGGTGAGAGATAAATGGATACAACAAATAGATGGAGGGAAGCACAGTGCCGCACAGACTATTATTATTAGCATGACAGACAGAGGTAACAGTGGACAGAGTGCACCAGATGCTGAGCCAAAGTGTGAAATCTGTTTGCCTTCCCACCTGTTCCTGTCAAATCATTTCTGCAAGGCCAATGTATTAAAATGGTTTTATTTATTTATAACATCTTTAAATTTTCTGAAAAGAAAAAGTTGTCCCAACACAGCACAGGCTGAGGATCTTGCCAAGGAGAGACAAACATTTGGAACAGCAAAATCCTGTATATTCTTATTTGTAATTCTAACTCTACTCGTGTTACTGATAACACAACCGCAATAATGTCCTTCAGCTCATGAGTGTCAAAAATTGTGAGTGGGGTTTGCACAAGCTTTCAGCTCTGTCCTAATTCTGCTCCTGTGAAATCAATAATAAAAGCCACTCCCACTGGCTGTAATGGGGATAACATTAAACCAACATAAAGCATTTTTCAAATCCCTGTGTGTCAAGTGGATTTCTATCTTGATTTCTATATAACTGACGTTGTTTCCGATACTTGTATTTTCTCTTTTAATGCTAAGAGTCAATATGGCTGCAGGTTGGGCCTGTTCTCTTTACTTGGAGCTTATTTGTTCATTTTCTACTAAAAATTGCTTTAAAATAAGTTCTGAACCTCTACAAAAATATCCTGCTTTCAAGTTGGAGCACAGGTGTCTCTCTCAGAAAAGCTGAAGTGTTACTGTTGTGAGAGGGCAGGATTTGTTGGCTGCAATTCTTGAAAGATTTGTAAATTGGGGAAGCCTCCTTGAAGTTAACAGAACTCTGCTGATTTACAGCAACTGAAGATAGGGACCAGGGTTTCTAACATTAATTTTTAAATGCTAAGTTTCCAATATTGGTATTCTGACAAAGTGCCTAAAATACAAAGTACAAATATCTATTAACGCCCCCCTGGGACATTTTAACCAAAGCCAAGAGGTGAAGGTTACCTTCACTTTTCCCTGGTGGCTTAAGATTCCGACCATCCGTTTGTTTCAATAAACCTGCCAATTTCTCATTTAAGTTTAATTTAGAAGCTTGTTTCTCTGACTCTTGCATATTGGTCGTGTCTTTTCTTTTCTTTACTTCTTCATGCTGTTTACGCCGCTCCTCAGCTTGTCTTGCAATCTGTTCTTGCTTTTTTCGGTCATCTTCTAGTTGTCTCTGCCTTTGTTGCTCTGTTTCTCTCAGAATTTCAGCTTGCTTTTTCCTCTCTTCCTCCTCATGTTTTTGCTGTTGGGACTCTTTCTCTCTCATCTGAGCAGCTGCCTCTTCTGCTTTTAGCCTTTCTTCTTGAATTTTTTCCTGTATTCGCTCTTCATGTAGTCGCTTTTTTTTGTCTTCCTCTTCCTTTCGGATATTTTCCTGCCATTGGTTCTCCTTCTCCTGTTTTGCTTTCCTTAAAGAAAAAAGGGATAATAAAACTGAAAGTAAGCAATACATTCTTCCTGAACAAGCTTGGTGACAGCCATGGCTCGAATTTAGACAAGACTGGGCCCTACATATATAGTATCCTCCTTCCTCTGGGAGTTCAGTGAAGTAGTGCTGGTTCACAAGCTACCAAAAAAAAAAATTAAAAAAAAAAAATGAACCTATGCTCCAGGTCTTCAACCAAGCAGGAAAGCTGGTCCATGTTCAGTCTGTACCCTAAGAACTAGGGCTGTGCGAAATTTCGGCAGCTAGTTCGTTTCAGAGGCGTTTCGGCCCATTTTGGCGCCCGAAACACAGAATCTGAAATGAAACAGAAGGCTCCGAAACATTTCCAAAATGAAACAAAGTCATGCAAAATATTTCAGAAATGTGTTGGATGTTTTGGAGGCGCCCCCCCGGGAACAGTCCGGCACAGCCCCGCGGCCCTCCTTTTAAAGTGCGGGGAGGCTGGGGTCAGGCAGGGGATGGGGGCGGGCAGGGCAGCCATGGAAGCTTCTGCAGTTCTCCCCACTGGGTCAGAGGCAGGCACAGCCGGAGGAGCCACAGGAGAACCTGCAGCCACCCAGCTGTGCCTGCCTCTCCCTGACCGATGCAAATCTCCGAAACAGGGTTGAAACTCCAAAACAGAGTTGGCCGAATTGAAACAGAACAGTGATCCGAAACAACGAAATGAATCGCTGTCTGCTAAAACGTCTGAATCCAAAATCAAAATGAAACAGCTGTTTCGCACAGCCCTACTAAGAACACAGAGAAGAGATCACTGACAGATATCACCTTTATTTCAACAACAAGGTTATCACATGTGTCCAAAAGGCAATTCTAGAAGACAATGTCCCTGCACCTTCAGCACTTGAGATAGTGCTGAAATATCTGGTTGTTGTTATTCGCATGTCATAAAAATAGTCATTGGAGAAGATCTCCATACTATATCGAAGTGGCAAACGCACTACTCTGATTGATATTCTGTGGTGTCTTCAGCCAAGGGAGGAGCTTCAGGGGGGTCTTGTGGTAGAGAAACTGCTCACACTATTGGTTCTTGGATAATTACATATTGTGGAAGTTATCATATGGAAGACGATATCACTTGCATGCATCTTACTGACCTCTTGGACAGGACCGGTAAAAGGTCATACAACAAAGCTGTTACCACATGCTTGATGATTATTCATGACAGAACTCAAGAATCTAAATCTCAACAATTAAAATAATAATAGATAAAACTGCACTTGCTATAACCAGGTCATCACAGAGCTACTGATAACAAGTGACCAAAAATAAAAAAAAAAATCTAACCTCATCGAAGCAATACTTCATTTTAAAAACCGTATGGCTGTCTTATATTTCTGAGCCAAGTTACCTTGCAGCCTCATCCTCCAGTCGCTTTTTCTGTGCCAGCTCAGCTCTTTTTCTTTCTACCTCTCTTATTTTATCTTGTTTTATTTTGTGGAGCTGCTCAAGAGCTAACTGCTGTGTGTTGTAGCTTTCTCTTAGTTCCTACAGAGGAAACACAATGGAGTGCATCAAAAGACTGAAGTCAACTCATTTTTTTAGGTGACCAACCAGGCATTTAACATGCTTTTTGATCCAAGCTTTAATACAAATGGACAGGGCGTTCTAAAATAAATTATGGATGCTAGAACTCAGCAGAAATAGAGAGACAAACAGAGGAGAATATAAAAATAGCAGGCAGATCTGCAAACCCTCTTACTCAGTTTGTGTTGCTCTGGGTAGGTTGCCTCTTAGGGGAAGCAGTATAGCTGCATCTACACAGAACTACAGGATGGCCAATTAGCACCGCTGACTAACAGGGCCAAATACACCAAACCCATGCTAATTAGCCCCCCTGGAGCGCAGTCATGTCCTCTAGCCTGGAATTTAAGTCATAGAAAAGTAGAGCTGGAAGGGACCTACAGAGGTCATCTAGTCCGACCCCTGGCTAAGGCAGAAGCATCCTTATCTCACCATCCCATATAAACCTGACACAACATAGACCTAACACTGTAACCTGCCACAGGTAAAAGCAAGTGGACCACAGCAGCCAATGTTCTACTTCTATAAAATTTTGTCAATATACACTCAAGAGGTCCTGGGAAGAGGGCCATGCCCCCCTCTATAGAGGAAGACAACCCCCCTGCCCCACCCAAGTCCATACCAATCTGACCATGGTGTAAAATTCCTTCCTGACCCCAAATATGACTTAACATTGAAGGCAGCACATGTGAAGCTGCACAGTGTGTTTGAGAATACCACTGCCTGATACAGTAAGTTTACTGTGTAGACACAGTCTAAATTTCCTAAAGAAACATATCAGCAATAATATACCAGAATGTACTTTAAAAGATTAATAATGTATTTACAGATTGCTACTATTATTCTTTCTTAACAATCACAGTGAATCAACTACACATACTGCTAAGAAGGTAAAAGGTAGCGTCTCACGTAAGATTACATATATACTGTATATACAATATTCAGGAATAGTCTATTCCCGCTGCAATACTGATACACTTTTCCTAGAAAGCCTGAGTATTCGTATAATAGAATTAATAAGAAAAAAAGGCAAGGTAACAAAACCTCTATTGCTCCAGGACCTCTTTCTGCAATAAATTAGAATAGGCAAATTATATTCCATATATTTCAAGTCCTAGCATTGATGGGGGAACACTTTCTCCACTCATTTTAAACAGTTAAAAACTCATGTATAACAAGTATCTTCATAATACATTTTTGGGGATTTTTGGCAAAAAAAACAAACTAGTAAAAATCTATTTCAATGTTACAGAATTTTACTGTTTCAAAGCAGACTTGTCCATTAAATAATTCAGAAGATAACTTACAAGAAAAAAAGAGGGTATGAATTTTACAGTAAGCACTGGTGAAATACCATTAGCACAATCAGAATTTGACCACAGCACAGAAAAGCCAATTGTGTTAGGGGAAAGCAGTGAGAAAGCTTTTGTACTGGGTTAACCTGGTGGCTTGGCAGTATTACATTAAGACGCTACATGTGGTATCCTGGGCATTGATGCAATTGCAGGATTCTTCTGAAACCAAACCGAAGAAAGCATTGGCTATATCTAGACATGTGCAGACATTTGTTTCCCTAGGGACAACTAACAGCAGCACATCTTGTGCCATTGCTAGTTGTTCCCGGGGAACGCCCATGCCACATGCATTTTGGCGCATGGCAGGTTACCCTGGGTGGGTTAGGGATGGCTGGGGCCAACACTTGGCTGCCCCAGCAGCCTTACCTGGGGTCCTGGGGGCCTCCCAGGGCTGCAGCAGTGGTGATCCTGCTGCTTGGAGCCTGGCTGGCAGCTGGATTGTGGCTACAGTCAGCCAGGCTCTGGTTTTAAGCAGCACGTATTGCCCCCAGGTCCACCGCTCCACTTTTTTTTGGGCGGGTTCTGTTGATCCCTGGATATGCCCCTGCGATGCTCCCTTGCAGCACAGAGAACGGCTGAACGTGTGATATGTGGCATGTCTGCGGCGCCACATACTACATGTGGCCACTGAGTTGACTCTCATTTAGGGTATGTGAGAAATGTGGGTTGGAGACAGAAAAGGGGGAACATAAGGGGAGAGATTTGTTTATATCAAAAGCATAAAATGTTACTTTGATGGCACTAACTGAAAAGGAAAAATATACCTGGGTTAGCTGATGGATCCATTAGTCCATTTACAAACATGCTGTTATCACTATTTTTGGGGCTTGTTTTCCAAGCTTTTAATTTGAAGCCTTTAGATAGCAGACAGATTTAAAAGCAAGCAGAAAGAAAACAAGACTGTTCATTCCATTTGTGTAAGTTTATTTTCAGAATGAGATTTTCAGGTAAGAGCTAAAGAGGTATCACATGCACAAAAGAAAAATATAAACAGAGAAAAACTATGAAATAATTAAAAGCAAAAGAGGCAAAGATTAGAAAATAACCTTAAGTAAGAGGAAGAGGTTGTTGAGACAGCTTAGCAGAGACAAAAGGCACTGAAGAACAGAATCATCCATATTCTCACACTGTAAGATAAGGCAGATAAAAAGCCAATTACATTCTTTTTAAATATACTGAAGGGAAGACTATGTTGTTGACACAGCCACTGAATGCAGCTGGATTGCTCTCAGTAATCATCAGCAAGCCATGCAGTAATGCGATTCCAAATGCAAGTAACTGATATTGGGTGGAGAAGAATAAGACTTTTTTTTTAAAGAAGAAAATCTCAAATGTTATTAGGAGTTTCCCCTTCAGCTCTTTTCAATGGATGTAATGTTGTCCTTCCTCTGAAGAGAAATCATTCAGTTTATTCTAAAATTTGCATCAATGCCACTAGGAATACACTAGCAAATAAAGCAGAGTAATGCTACCTATATATGAAACTTACATGCATTTTCTTAGATAGGTTAATATGCATCTAAAGCAAATAGCCTTCTGTTATACTAGCATGTTACTTTTATAGCCCTCTGCACGTATCTTCTACTTGTTACGGGAACAAGAACACTATCACCAAATCAGAATCTCTCATGGGCTGTTCTGGTCTTATTTTTTAGTATCTTGTTCCAGTAGAAGATAAACAATGAGGACATTCAGTTTGCACCAGAAAAATGGTAGTACCACAACCTTATAGTTATGGAACCAGAACTTGTAAGGTGCTGAGCACCCCCAACTCTCAGTCTCTTTGAGGAGAAAAAAATCAGAATGAGCGATGGATACATCTGGAATGGTGTGGTAGCATCACACATGCAGAGAAGTAAAAAAGATCAATATACAACTATGAGGTGTGTAATGTTTATTTTCAGATTGTGCCATTTGCTGGAAGACATTTGGTAAACAATTGGATAGCTTTAAGATGGGACAGACTTTCACAAATGGAACTGCATCATGAGATAGCAAATGCAAGTTTGGTAGGGCCACCAAACTTTTATGACTGGACAGAGAAGAAAACAGTTTACAATCATAGGACAGTATGTTCACAGAATGAATGTACTGTACCTTAAGGTGACTGTTAAATGTATCCATTTCTGAGAGTTTGGAAGCAGTTTCCTTTTCTAGGGCATCTAGCTGTTCCCGAAGTCTTTGGCACAATTCTTCCTTTTCTAAGGATTTCTTGTATACAGAACTGATTCCTGGACCTGAAAATAAAAGAACATGTAGTTTTACATTGGCTTGTATTTTTAATTACCGTTTCTATTTCTTTTTAGTACATGTGAACTCCCAGTTTACAATCTGTTTTTTTATACTGCCTTTTTTTTCCAAATACAGCTCACTGTACAACAGGACCCTGGTCTCCATTTACAGGTGTTAGGCACTCAAAATCCACATAACACGGTTGACGTTAGGTCTTTATATAGAATTAGTTTGACTTAGATGCAAATGCCTGAAGGCAGACTGTAATGTGGTTTGCAACTCATTTTCCAGTATAAAACTGGTGTAAACCCTGTCATTTAAATGATGTTACTCAAAAGTTTACGCTACTGTAAGTAAAAGGAAAATTGGGTAGTAAAAGTATCTGTAGCCAGTATCTGTTACATTTCAAGTATAGAAAGCTGGCATATAGATCAAAGAAAGAATTTATTTGAACATGCTTACTATTAGAGTTGTCCAGCTGCACATTTTTAATTCTCTCATTTAACAACTGTTTTTCAGGAACTAAATGGATTAGCTTATTCTGATATTCCTGCAAATATAAGAGAGGTACAATAGATTTTTAAGACTGGTTAATATTTGTGTACATACTAACAAGCACTAAGGAGAGAATTTTCAACATTTTAACTTGAGTGCTTTGGTGCATTTTTTCCCCTGTAATGGATCATATTTTATGATCCCCAAGTATATACTATGAAAAGGACACACAAATATTAAGCACAGAGGAAATGAACAAGAGTAGAGCACACCAGCATAACATTTGTACATATGGCAGAATACGAATTTCAAAGAGAAATCTAAATGCTTTTTTGAAACAAGCCATCAATTAACTAATAGTTTTCCAGTCTCTGATAAATAAGACTGAAGTAAAATACTATTCACACATAATCCACAAACCTAGTGACATGTTATTCATTGGTTTAACACATTACATTTTTAATTTCTGAAATCACAAATCAATTGTGACATCTTACACATACTAGAAATTTGCACGGTGATAAATGACCAGTCACTTGTTTAGCTCACCAATGTCTAGTCCAAACATAGAGTAGGAAATCTACAAGTCACAGCGAGGCATCTTTGCCTGGAACAAGACTCCTAAATCACAGATACTTTTGAAAATGTTGCCCAGATAGACAGAAGCATGAGTCCTGACATAAAAGCCTACATTCCTTTTAAAATACACAAGCCTAATTGTATTTTTCAGGAAGTGTTATGAAATTAGGCAAAAACATTTGAAACTCTTGTCAGGTGAAAAGTCAAGTCTCTATATTTTCAAAAGTAAACAGCCTTTAAACTTCCATAAATTATATTAATTCAATAAATATTTGCTGAACTACACAGACTAATTGTTGTAATAAATGAAAAACCATCAGTTGATGCATCATCTATATAAGCTCCATCACCCTGCTTCATTCAAAGTTCCAGAAAGAACTGAGATACCGTAGAAAAAACACTGCACAACTCACGTGTCTTCACTGGAATTGTATCAGTAAGGATAATCCCTTTAGGCATTTTACTTGGTTTTGGAAGGATGTAGAAAACAGGCAGACATTTTGTAGGATTCCCCCAAAATAACTTCCTACCTGGGCTCTGTAAAACTAATGCATGTTACTGGAACTATGGTCAAAACTTCACTTCTAACCTGGAAAAGTTATTGCCAATTGATCAGGACTACACAGTTCTTTTCCCAACTTCTTAAAAAATAAAATCAGCACTGTCCAACCTTATTCTACTGGCCATTTCTGCTTTCTGTCTTTGCACATCATCTATTAAATTAATTGACATTACCATACTAGTCTCTCTTATCCTGCCTTTCTTTATAACTGCTGAAGAGGTGTGAAAGGAGAAGCAGAGAACACTAGGGTTAGCCTGACATTACATACCTGAAGTTGTTGTTGCAGCTGTTTGATTTCCATAATTCCCAAGTCATATTTCTTATCTAGAGCTTCCAGCTCACTTTTCCGAATTTGTTTTCTGCTTTGAACATCCTGCAGTCTGCCTGAGATCTGCTGATGCTTGTCAGTCTGTAGATAAACAGATTAAACCATGTGTAGTAAACAATTTAGCAAGTGCATCACTAAAACTTCTGTGAAAAGATCAGTTCAGCCAAAATGTAATTAAGAACAATTCTGAAATAACCCCCAAAATTAGACAATAAACCAAACCCACCAAAATCAAGTTTCCATAGCTCGTTCAAACAAACGAGCATGTAATTAATATGTATTTGTATACTACATAATTTGCTCTTTCATATAAACATAATGAGCATGACAAATGCCTCACCAGGGCTTCTAATTCAAGATTAAGGCTCTTCTTCCTAGCAGTTAACTTGACAATTTCTTCTTGTTCCCGATTTCGTTGATTAAGAAGATCTTGGCGCCGAATTCTCTCCCATTCTAGTCGCCGCTGGCGCTCAAGTTCCTGTTTTGCTGCCTAAGATAAATTATATCATCATAAACCTACAATATTCTTTAGCAACTCTAAAGCCAAGTAGAAGTGTGATAGTACTGATTATAAATATTTACATTACACACATTACATACGTGTTCTTAGCTACGTAAAGAGTTGGAAACATTATTTCCAGTATAATCAAGAAAAGTAATAGGAAGTCTGTAGCTTTTTGAAAAACCAGAGTAGTGAAGCTTTACCGAATGTCAGCCAGCCCTAGATCCCAGATTCGGCCTGAAGGGCACTATTCAGGAGGCACCTTACCGGACTGGCCACAGACTGCTTGCACATTAAAAAAATCCCCAATACGCTTCACCAGAAGCAGCAGCGCGTTACTTTGACTTGGCTCCACAGAATCTCTATAGATCAGGCACTTTAGAAGGGCTTTTTGGCACTTTTATCTAAAGCTGATTCAATCAGCTATTAGATAAAAATCGCCAAAAAAGCCCCACTAAAGTGCCTGATCAATACAGACACTGCAGAGCTGGGTCAAACTAATGTGTGCTGCCTCTTCTGTGCATGTGCTGGACTTGGTGTGGGAGCACGTGGAGTTTAAGGTAAAGCACTGGGTTTTTGTTTTTAATGTCTGCAAGTACTCAGAGTGAATACATTTTAATTGAAACTATGGAGAAACTTACTTAAACCATATTTGTCCTAGGATCAACAGGCAAAATAATACCAATTTCAAGCTTCAGTACAGAGTAGTTTTGGGGTTTCTAACTACTTAGACCAACTTGCTACACTTAGAAGTAATGAAAGTTCAAACACACCCAAAATTACACATCCCCAAATGGACAAGGGAATAGCTTAATCAGTGGGTTCACTGAGTGGATGTACAGACTTCTTAAACAACAGTTAAAAATAAATGTAATTAAGCAGACAACCTCCCGCCTTTCTATTTCTTTCCTCCTCTCTTCCTCCCTCTGTCTTTCCAGCTCTCGTTGTTTCTCCAACTGCCTTTCCAGTTCAAGCTGCTTTTTTCGCTCCTGTTCTTGCCGTTCCCTCTCTCTTCGTTCCTGCTCTTCTCTTTCTTTCTGGGCCTTACGCTCTGCCTCTCTCTGCTGCTGTTCCAGCAGGACCTGACGGCGTTTTTCCAGTTCCATGTTTCCTCTCTCATAGTTTGCTTTCCTCTTGTCCTCAAATGTAACTAAAACACAGGAAGGCAGTTAGCATTCTTTCACACAAAATGTCATCTTCAAGCAGGCTCCTCCGTTACATGACTAATGCCTAGAAAACTATCTTACTAGTTATCTCAGGTCACTGTCTCACAGATATTTTAAACACCTTGAAAGGTGTAGAGCTAAAATATTTTTTTCTTTTCTTTTTGAGCACTGATATTCACTTAAGTTTTTAGAATCCTGCCAGAGGCAAAATTTAATTTTTATGGTCAGCCCAAAGTAATTTTTTTCTTTGGTATTTTACCTTTTCACAAAAAACAAAAACAAAACAAAAAAACAAGACAAAAACAAAAAACCCATCACTGGCTGAACAAGGTCTGTTTGATTATTTAAAATATTTTTTTACCAGATCACAATTTAACACCAAGAGATTAATAACTTTAGTTGTGCAGAATATATAAAGACAATATTTAGAAGCTGAGGGATGGCTGATTTCTTGGTTTATAACATATGAAAGGAAAGCACGTAAGTTACAAAGCTCATCATTTTTTAGATTTGTTTTTAAAATTTTCACTACAAGATGCAGGCAAAGGCCAGCAGGAAACAGACAGTAGTAGAGTTTAATATTGTAGGACCAAGCAAGCTATGTTCAAGTGCTTGCAGGCTCAAAATCTTGCAGTAGTTGAAAAAGTACTGCTTACCCTACATTCATAATGCTTTCTTAATTGTACATAACTGACAGCATCATCTACACAATCTTCCCTCTATCTGTGGTGAAAGGTACGTTACCCCAGAAATACAGATGTTAGATACCCCCGGGTTCCCTCATCCCATTTTAGTTTCTAAAAGTTTTAGTAGAGTTCAAAATACAGTTTTGTAGGCTAACACACAGCTCAAAACCTCATTCTTACCTGGCTGTTTTTTCTGGGGCTCTTCTTCTTGTGGTTGCTGGTAAGATTGCAGTGCTCCATTAATATTTTCAGCATACTTTCCACCTCTATAAAGATACATTTTTGTCAGGAGGTTAAAAGTTCATCAATATTTGTAGCCTTTGCATCAGGTTTGTCATGTGACACTGCCTTTGGCAATTTACCTGAAAGAAGGAGGTACCAATTCAGGGGGAAGTGTCAGTGGCAGAGGTTTTCCAGCTCTGGCCATATCAGTAAGATGCATGGCTAACACAAATTCATCGGCCTTCAGCTGTCCATCACCATCAATATCAGCAAGTGTCCTGAGTAAAGTATAAGAGCAATGACATCAGCGGAAGTGAAGCTAAATGATTACTTGGAAGGGATAGCTTAAATTATTGCAGAACAATTTCTTAAAGGATTGTTTTATGGAATAAACTGGTAAAAAATCCTCCTTTTAATAAATCAGTGGCAGATGAAAGACAATTTTATTGTGCTATGTTACAGTTTTACTACAGGCCTTGCCTTTATACAGCTTGTTTCAAGAAACAGTAAAAGCAGAAGTGGGAAATGAGGACAAGAAAGAGGTACCTGACTTCCCTCAGGGTGACATGACAAACCAACAGCAGACCTGGGAACAGAAGACAGCCCTATATACAACCCACTCTTCTGAAGTTCACAGCATCTCTTGATTTATTACCTCTCAGTTCTTTTCTCAGGATTTCAGCATCACTTAAATTTAGGTTCTCAACCTCCTAAAGGAACCTAAATGTAAAGGTCTTTTCTCCAGGACAGCAGTTTGCCTGATAACACTGTTTCAGAGCTCCTTGAAGCAGGCAGGTGAAGAGGATCAAGTACTTCCTGAACTTGTTCATATGGGGAGGCAGGGTAGATACTTGTCTTACTTCCCTAACCCCAAACAAAATACTTTGCAAGGGCAAAAGGTAAGGAACAGGTGCTTCCAGAGATGTGAGCAAAGGAACTGGAGCATCCATTAAAAGGAAAAAGTCTGATCTAGATACACAGATCTTGTTGCAAGACTAAGTCACGGAAGTACTTGCCACTGTAGTGCTCTTCCTCACCAATAAGTCTGACCAGAAAATAATAAGAGAAAAGATTTCTAGTCAAAACTACAGTTAATCAAAGTGTTTTTTTCTCCTGTTTATTGTCTGACACTACTTCTGAATCATGTTAAAATGACACTACATATCAAAGCAAAGTACTGATAATTGCCAACTTTGGAGTAGAGAGGTGGTTAACTGTACAAATTTGAAGTCAGGGAGAAGGTAGGGCAGGGTGCCACCTTAAAGGCTAGTTAGCTTAGAGATGCATGAACTTTTGTAGGCAATAACCTACATTATTAGATGCTGTGCACACTCTGGTGATACAGACTGTGATATGGACCATCAGTATTGTGAAAGTACACAAACCATCTTGCATCCAACCAGAGCTATTCAAACTTTGAGCCTGGACATGCAGGAGGATGCAGTCATTGTGCATCTGCTTATTCCGTCACTACCTTGAACAGGTGCACAGAACCGCAAGTCCTGATTCTGACCCTACAATGTACCACCTAACAGCAGAGACAACAGGGTAAAATTGTAATTTGCTGCTCCTATGAGCCAGTAGTAAACAACTATTCTTCGGACAAAAGGCGGAGGGAGATCTGTGACTCAGAGGGTTGTCTGCAGAGGACTGTGGATTCCTCTGGGATGGTAAAGTTTACAACTCACTCTGAGTCGTGCAGCAAGGCGGTAGCCCTAGACTTCAAGAGGGACAACTTCAACGAGTTGAGGAGACTGGTGGGAGAGGCGCTGGGGTTCTCGAGGGCAGGGGAACTCAGTGCCCAAGATGAGTGGTCGTTCCTTAAGGAAATGATACTCAGGGCACAAGGGGTGACGATCCCAACAAGAAGCAAGGAGAGCAAGAGTGCCCAAAAGCCCCCCTGGCTCACCAAGGATGTTCAGGAATG